AAAAGGCAGTCCCTTATAGAACGATGTACCTCGCCCTCTATCAGGCTGAGCGTTTGGGAAAAAAACTAGGGCGACAGTGATGCTGCCATATCCCTGGTTTCTCTGTATTTCCACTCACTTCTCTTTTACATCTTGCACACAGGACGTCTTCATCCTTTTTAGACTCTTTCCCTTTGATACGTTCAAAGACACTGGGATGTGGTCCAGGGTCCTCTTCCCCGTCATCTATAACTAACTTGAATTTTAGCAACTTATTTTTGGAACCAGTGGTCACCATGTTCATCCCAAGTGGCTGTGGAAAAGGGTTTTCATCCACTGCCATCTTCCTCTTATCCTCGAACATAATTCGTCCTGATTCAATAGCACCCTGTAACACATGGCAAAAAACCAAACAGTTATTATTCAAATGTGACCATACATTATGCCACTTACAATATTTTTTACCCTTAACTTGTTTAGGGCTTGGCAATTTATGTTTATCGCTTAGCTTTATCTGCTTATTCTTATATAGTTTATCAAATATAAGGTCAGCTCTGGTTACATCGAACGAGAACGTTCTAGCCTTTTTGTTTTCATCTTTTATAGGCTCATCCTTGCCTGACGGTCTAGGCTTAACCATTATAGGACAAGTATACGCGTCTCCTTTGATTAATTCGGCCAAACACATTTCGATTTGATCGTAATACTCGTCATTAATTGTATGAACATCAAAATTTGAGTCTCTATAATAAGTCCCCTTGTTAGAATTTTTTATTTGCTTTTCTTCTCTTATTAATCGTTCATACCTAATCACGTTCGCATTCAATTGGAAAAGATCAGGAAATTCCTTGTCTTGGAACTTCTTTTTTCAAATCAACGTTTAGACAACTTTGAGCGATTTTGACAAACTCCTTTTCGAGCAAAGGTACAAAACATTTACTTTTTGCTGTCTTGAACTTTTGAAGGAAATCTTCTACCCATTCGTTTGGCATTTGACGTAGATTCGTCAAATTGGCCAAAGTAACTTCGGACTCAATCTTATAAAACTGAGCGTGGAACAATTGCTCCAATTGTTGCCATATTTGAACAGAGTTCGCTGGCAAATTAATGAACCAGGAGAAAGCTACTCCTGTTAATGAATTAGGGAACAACCTCATTTTATGGTAATTAGTTACGTCACCACTTTGCAGTGTGAATCGTCCTATGTGTTCTGGAGTAGATACCTCTCCTAAATCGGTAAATAGTGAGAATTCTGGCACTTTATACCCTCTAGGCCATGGATAAGTTTGGTCTACCCAATCAGGATATGGCCTTGTGTAAGTCGGCCTAATGACAGGACGTACCCCCAAAAGTCATTCGATCCTGTACTATTTTCATAATTTGATTCCTCAACATAACGTTGGGGTCATATGAAATTCCTACAGGTTGGTTGACCTATTGATTTGCTTGAGGCCTGATATTTGGTCCTTGGTTGGCAAAAAGTTGCCACGATTTGGGCCATTGTTACCATTATCCTAAATATTAATTCCATCATTAACACGTGGGGCATTCTGTCCATTATTTAGGACATTGTCTCTTACGTTTAGGTTACCCCCCCAGTTAGATGTACCATTGCCACTATTCTGATTTGGCATTACACCATCTCCCTGGTTTGAAGTAGAGGGACCAAAAGGTGGTTCTACCCCTTGATTTGGACTTAGGACTGGGGATTATATCCCACAATTATCCTAGCTTGGAAGTGATTTGCAAGAGGCACAACTGGCTGACAAATTTGGCCTACTAACTTATTCATTATTTCATTCAAAGTATTCAATTATTTGGCCATGTTGTCATAATGTGCATTCCCATTCTGGGTAAATATTTCCATATTATGAATATTTCGTAGATTTACCTGTTCAACGACATCCTGTGTGAGTTCTCCAAGTAATGTACGCATAGTTCGAGGACTCAACTCTGTCATTGGTTTGTAACGACTATGACTGCTCTGATTCTGTCCATCTATTCGTGGAGAGCTATGCTGCTCCTTATATCGCTCGATCACAGACTGGACTCCTCCCTGACTTGCTTCATTATCAGATTTCTGAGGCATATTGTTTTATCTTTTGTATCTTTAACACCAAATACCAATGTCCTACCGGGCGTGCCAAATTGTTTCGTGCGGGTAGTCGCTAACAATTAAAAAGGGATTAGACGAATGTGTAAGGAACAAACCTCTTGAGACAAAATCCCAAAAGGGGTGTGTTATTGGCGATGACTTTATAATTGGAACTAAACAAAATGCCTCCAAGGGACGCAAGTACACGAGTACTGAAAAGAAATGTTTCAGTCTAAACTAAGAAATTGAAATTACATATTCTCTATTTGAGAGTGTTTGATTCGGGGTCCTTTGCTCTATGTCTTCTCTTCCTTTTATATTCTCTTGATGATTTTTTTGTGATCAACCGCTTAGAAACTACTTGATTGCTTTTATAACTACCTACTTTCTTTATGGTGGCTAACTTGTCATGGAACTGTCGTCTCTAACTGCTGCCACTACTCTTTGTCATTCAACCGTCTTCAACTGAACTCCTTGAATCGTGGAATGTGAAAAAGTTACTCAATAACTGCACTTTTGGATAACCATATCATCTTATGTTTGCTAATATTCTAGGCAATTCGAAGATTTGGACGAGAACATGGTCATAACTCTGAGCGACTGTAAGGCATTTTATTCGCTCAGATCTGGGCGTCTTGTAAGCTTGGGCGATGATGTCACCCTGCTCGTGGGCTTCCACTGCATTCATTAATAATCCTATCTGGGTCTTTATCCTGAATTGCACTGGGCTTTATTCTTTGGGTTATTTGATTTGGGAATTCCTCAATTGGGCTTCATTCCTTGGGCTATTCGATTTGAGCTGCACTTTTAGTATGTCAACAATTTCCTATGGAAAAATTTATAAATTATTATGAAATGTCGAATTTTATTTTAACCACATATTTCATTGAATTCAAAAGGATTATTCACCATTCATTAATAAACATCGTTTGTTCCAGCTATTTTGTTCACATATAGTGCAAAATGAAATAGTGAAGTCCAAGAGAGAATAAGTTGATCATTAAACTATTTTAGTGAACTAATTTATTCATTAAATTTAAATAATATTACATAATCGCTCATTACTGGTGAAATGATCTCAATATATTTTGTCGTGAATTACATTTGCAGAAAGAAAAAATAAAATTTATGAAAAGCCAATATATTATAATGTGTAAGAAAATATTTTTACTGGTGGACTATAAAAATAATATTAATTATTATTTGATACCATAATACAGCTTAATCTACCCTCTTCTCTAAGAGCATGTTTGGTAGAGATTTTAATCCAATTAACATCAATTTTTTTTTATCATTATTTCACTATTTCAACTGTCATTTTTGAATTTTTCTCTTACATGTAGGATCTACTTTATTTTTAACGACCAAAAAATCAATTAATAAAATCTCTACTAAACAAGTACTAAATTTATACAGAATCTTTAGGAATAAACCTAAGGACAAGTGATATAAATAGCAATAAAGATAGTTTACCAAACATGAGTTGATCTTTTGCAGCAATTATTTAAAATGGTACTTATAATTTTTATCTATGTTACCTCTACTAATAAATCAACTATTAATCTCATGCAGAGGTGTAAAAGTAAGTTGGACGCCAAATACCGAACAACTTGGCTGGGTTTCCGGGCTTGGAATTCCAAAATTCATCGTGTCGTGACCTTACTCTTTGTACGTCTCTCTCTTCCATTTTATTATTCAATCATATCCAATAATCTAATGCTCTGATGTGTCATTAACATTACAAGCAAGAAGAATTAGAAGGCATTTATAGAAATTAAACATGCTGACCACTCTATGGCAACGTGAACTTTGTTTCCTTAATTCCATAAAAATTGGATCCATCACGTAATTATCAGAATTTTATAGATGGAGTTGAAATTCAATGAAACTAACGTGTACTTACATCTTTCTCTATCTTATAGTATATTCTATGAATATGCATATATTCTTGTTTTGAAATATATATAATTTATTTTGTAGTAGTTTGGTTTCTTGAAACAATTTATAAAGATTTAAGAATTACTATTTCGCCGCGAATATTGGATTCCGTTGACTTAACTATGCAAATACTTTAAACTTTGCATAATCTGTCGACAATATTTTAATAGCTTGTTTAGTATACTGTATTGATCATTATCGTACAATATTATGAATTTCTCAAGTAATAATTTTAATAGATACATTTGAATTTCTTGCAACAAACGTGCTATGAAAGTTGAGTTTAGTGCTACTCTCATTAGAGAAGACATCTCCTTAAAGTAGTTATTACGTATTTAGATAATAAAAATTAAAGTGGTATTTGAAAACCTCATCATCTACCTTCATTACTAATACAAGACTGTTTGGTATGATTTTTGAAAAATCAAAAACTTTTTGTGAGATTAAAAAATTGCTTTTGAACATTTTGAATAATTTTTCAAAAGTGATTTGTATGGCTAGAAGAATTTTTTCTAGAAAATTAGTCTAAGATAATTAATTCAAAAAGTTCTTTTACAAGAGGCAAGGGTAAAAGTAGAAGCGATGTCAAATGACTCGTAGTATTTTAACTTAAGGCATCGAAGATGAGATGATTAATATGATATTGTAGTTGATGAAATCAAATAAATTCATATATTGCCAACACTATTGTTGCGTATAAGATCTTTAAGAATTTGATTTGCACGTGAACGACGTGTTGAAGATACCTTGGTGTATTTTGTAATTGCCGTAGAGTTCAAACACTCCATCCACGTTCCAACTTATAGCTTAATTAATCTTATATCAAACTAAAAGAAAGTAACTAACAGAAATAAAAAGTCAAACTCAACCTAACTATTCTAAACTTTTTCATATGATAGCGAGTCCCAAACTTGCTGTCAAGTAAAGAAGACGAACCAATAAAAGCCGTTAGATGGAAAATTATGTGTGTGATTATCTATGTAAGCATATTATCACAATTTAGAATCTCAATTGACTTTCTTCACGCCAATGCTATCCTATTTTTCCAGAAATTTTCCACATCCTATATAGATGTGTGTGTACATATGTTACAACATAAACATACATTGTGCTACACAATCTAATATTTTTTGAACATATTTTCGCTCGAAAATGGAAAAACGATTCTCATTATTTTTCATGGTTACGTTATTCCTTCTTCAATTCATACAATTTTGTGGTGCCGCCGTGGACTATATCCGTCCAAGTGCTCGGCAACTCAGTTTCCGGGCACATAACGGGTCAGATTCCGAACCTCAGCAGGTTTTTTTTCCCACTTTGTAGCAATTTTTGGGGTCATGTAAACCATGGGCAAAGTTTTTCAATATTGATTATTTCCAGGTACATATTTCATTGGCGGGGAAAGATTACATGAGGGTTTCTTGGATTACGACAGATAAGCAAGTGAAATCCATTGTTGAATATGGAAAATCTCCGGGGATATATGAGTCATCAGCCACCGGAGAAAGCACTTCCTACAAGTACTTCTTTTACAGTTCCGATGAAATTCATCATGTTAAAATTGGACCATTGGATCCAAGTACAACTTATTACTACAGGTGTGGTGGCGCTGGCCCAGAGTTCAGCTTCCTAACGCCGCCTTCTACTTTTCCTATTGAATTCGCCATTGTAGGTAAGTGGTGATGCATGGCGCCCCATTGAGCATTTGATCATGGTTCATATGATATTTATCTTCTTTTCTCATTTGCATAATATTATTATACAGGAGACCTAGGACAAACCGAATGGACAAAATCAACCTTAGACCATGTTGGTGCAATGGATTACGATGTATTTCTTCTACCTGGCGATCTTTCCTATGCTGATACTCAGCAACCATTATGGGACTCATTTGGTCGACTGGTCGAGCCATATGCAAGCACTAGGCCTTGGATGGTCACTGAAGGAAACCATGAAATTGAAGCATTCCCAATCATTAATTATCCTCGGCGCTTTAAAGCCTACAATGCAAGATGGCTCATGCCATATCAAGAAAGCGGGTCCAAATCTAACCTGTATTACTCGTTCGATGTTGCTGGGACCCACATTATTATGCTCGGATCGTACACGGACTTTGACTCTGAATCAGATCAGTACAAGTGGCTTCAAGCTGATTTGGCAAACGTTGATAGGCAAAAGACACCTTGGGTGGTTGTCCTCCTACATGCACCATGGTACAATTCTAATCAAGCTCACAGAGGGGAAGGCGAAAGCATGAGGCAAGCCATGGAAGAGGTGTTGTACAAGGCACGAGTTGACGTGGTCTTTGCAGGACATGTTCACGCATATGAACGCTTTGTAAGTCATTTTTTATCTTTTAAATTCATCGTGCAATTAAAAAAAAATTGGTATTGGAAACCAAATGTTGTGTGTATATATGTGCAAATTTTTCGAAAAGCATCGAATTGGAAGGTTTTTTATTTTTATTTTTTATTATTGCTTCATTGTTGTCACATGTGCAGACTAGGGTTTTTGATAACAATGCTGACCCATGCGGTCCTGTTTATATTACCATTGGAGATGGAGGAAACAGAGAAGGGCTTGCTATGAAGTAAGTTCACAATGACAATTTTAGCATACATGCCCAATATATGCTGCGCCCGAGACTAGGCCTGCAGACAACCTCGATCGAAGGCTGGGCATGTAAAGCACCACAAAGATTTATGAAAAGTTCATTTAACAGGATTTTTGCTTTTGCTTCTTGTAAAAAAGGGGCATGAGAAACCTACTTTAAGTCGTATTTGGAAATTAATTTATAAGAATTTGTTCTTCCAGAAGAGTTTTTAGGTGAAATCATTTTGAACCAACTTTCTCTAAAAAAAATTTCTAATTAGTAGAAATATTTTTATAAAATTAATAAATGGTCCAAAAGTAGCTTTTTGAAGTCTCAATAGCTCTTTTTGACTTCTCAAAAATCATGTATACGAGCCCTAAGTTCAAATTTCACCGTAATAATTATTCTATTGAAAAATCTATTTGAATTGTTCAAGGAAAATGTTGAAGACATAATTTAAGCACACCACATTGACAATTATATATTTCTCAATCTAATTTTCTTAAAATTTTCTACTAATTTCTACTAACCTATTTATAATTGGTTGTGCAAATGTGGTGAAGGTTTGTGAACCCTAGTCCTTCAATCTCAGTCTATCGAGAGCCAAGCTTCGGACATGGGCGATTGAGGATGCACAATAACACACATGCCCAATGGTCATGGCACAGGAACAACGAGACTGATGCAGTTACGGCAGATGAGCTCTGGTTAGAAAGCTTAAGCTCCTCTACACTTTGCAACCAAGTTGAAATGCCATCAAAATCGCTCAAAGATGAACTCTAAATATAGGATTAGTATTCTTTCTCTTGATCATACAGTTTGTGATTTTTTTTTTAGGTTTTTTTTATCGTGTTTTTAGTATAAAAAACAAAAAAATAATATATTTATCGGCATTATGTAATTATAACTATAAACTGTACTGTATTATAATTAATTGTTTGATTTTGAACAATTAATAAAACTTTTTAAAGTACTATAGTTAAGAAAGTTTGTAATAATATTGTGAATTTTGTTGCTGAAATTTATAACAATAATAGTAGTAGTAGTAAATGTTAGAAAAATAATTAGTTGCAGCAGTGATCAGAACAATATAATGCAGAAATATAAAACTTATCGTCCGATCGAGTCTCGTGACAACACGATGTCCTAAAGTGAAATTGCCCGTCAATAATTGCTGTGACCTCCGTGGACAATCACTCCCAGGATACAACGATCGTAAACCACTTATGCAGCAATCACGAATGATTTTTCTAGAACTCTCAATTGTACTCCAGAGTAAGTATAAAAACCCGAATATAAGAAATTCACAATATGAAAAGAGTGATTGATTCTATTTTCTATTTGTGTGTCTTTTCCCAAAGCAAGATATGGGTTTATATAGGCAAGATGGTAGTAACAGTCTTCACCATGTTAATGCAGAATTTTAATGACTGAGTAGTGGGTGTTTTAATGGCAGTTAGTGGGTTGTTACAAAAACAAACAGTCATAAAATACTGGCTAGTTTTACCCATTAAATAATGAAGAAAAAAAATATTTGCGTGGGGAGTGATTCGAACCCCTGACGTCCCACACAAATGTCACATTTCCCACCACTTTGGCACTTTATCTAATTTGATTATTTCTTTCACATTTTATATTTATACCATAAATATATAACAGTAAAAGCTATAGTTTTGAAAATTTAATTACATTCAATTCTTAGTACGTAAAAGAGTACAGATGGTTAGCAACTTGCAAAGCTAAGAATTTGGACACGAAGATGACATTAGAAAATAAAACATAAATTTTACGTTATTCATACCTTCCATTAAATATAATTAAAGCTTCTGGTATTTAGCTTTTATCCAGTGTGCTGAGTTGCACAATGGCATGCTTAAACTTGTAAAGAAAGTAAAATCTATCAATAAAAATGTTATTTTAAAATTTGTTTTTGGCAAAAAAAAAAAAAAAAAAAAAAAAAAAAAAAAAAAGGGAAAAAAAGAAAATCTCTCTCTCCTTTTTTTTTTTTTTTTTTTTTTTTGAAGACAGCCAATGATGCTAGATAAGACATATTCAAATAGGAAATTCTAGAATAGTTTCAGCTTCTAGCTAAGTTTTGCTTAATTTGAACAATGGGATGTCTAAATATATTCATTTGCAACGTTCCACGCACATAACAATTTAAAAACAATTGAAATGTAAATTTAAAGCCATAGAACAGTCTGTCAAGGCTAACTAAGTCCATCTAACAAGATTTTTAATGCAGGTGAATACGATTCGATTTGAGCAATTATTGAACTATTTTGATAATTTTAATGGTTTGGAAAAATTTCATGCCTTACCATTTCATTTTCAAAAATATTGTGCGATTTGATTTGGTTTCAAAATCACGATTTTTCCAAAAAGTGAAAATAAATAGACATATCTAAAATTCACTATAGCACTTAATTTGAAATTTTCCAAACATAAAGGCACAATACCTAGCTTAAACGATTAAGTAATGCAACTTCAACCATATCTAGAGAAGAAAAGAATTATCCTAAATAATGATGATTTTCCTAGCTAAAGGATCAATAGAAGTCGACTGGCAAGTAAATCAATTTAATAAATAATATATATTGGACATACGAGAAATTTTTGTAAAACCAAAATGTGTGAACAATTCAGTTTAGTTTCAAGCATTTTTAACTATCGAAACCTAAATCACATGGATCTAAATCAACGATTTCATCTTATTTTGATGGCTTTTCGATTTTGAATCGACTCCTAATTTTTTAACATGCAACTCAAATTTCTTAAACTCGAAAAATTAATTAAAAATATTGAAAAATAATTTTCAAACCTAATATGTAGGAACAGAGTGGAACTCCTAGTGCATTTTTGGTACTAACCTTGTGTGCTTGTTGAAGATTACCAGTTTAAATTCAGAAAAATAAAAATTAAATTGGAATTCATTTTATACATGTGAGAATTCCACTTTCATAAACACAAATCATGCACATAAATTTCTGTGATTTTTTCAGAAAGATAAGCAATTTTGCCTTCTGTTTAACAATAAGAAAAATCCTCCCTCAAAAAACCAATGAGCAGATTCCTAATGAAACATCAAATTCAAACATGAATAAATACAGAAGAATTCAACAAATTATATAACTACTTAAATTACCTTCATTGTGAGAAAATCTACGGACTCAAGTGGGTTATTGCTTGAAAACAAGCAATCAAATGCACTTTTCAAAATAAATAAAACCTAACAGTTGGTGAGTTAAAAACTCAAGAATTGCTAAGAATTAAATCAGTGAAATTTTTAGTGGAAAATGATGGAAAAACAACTTAATGCATGAATTAATATTCTGAATGTAATTAAGAAGATCAAAGAAGGCACTGTTGACCATTAAAAAAAAAAAAAAAAGAAAAAAAAAAAAGATAACGACAAAATCGACAATTGAATGTTTTAATGCAATGATTTTTTATAAATGGATTAAAAGTTGCTTACCTAAACTTAATTTTTTTTCCAACTTTTTTCATTGCATTTTTATCATGAAACTTTCATATTATCCCTAATGACAGTATTTGTCCAAAAAATTCGTAGTGTTCTTTAAAATGAGAAGGAAATATCTATTTGGAGTTTATATTTGTTGTTGTTGATTGATTTATTTATTTATTGATATGAGGCTCAAATAAGCCTTTTATGTTGTCCCTTAGTCGTCCCCCAATAAAATAATTACACATCTATATGTTGTAGCATAAATTAAGTTTCAAACTTTCAAAAAATTAAAACTCATTAATTTTCAGTTTTTCCTTTTAATTTTCAGGTTTAATTTCAAAATTAAAACTCATAATTTCATAATGTAACTTATATTTTAATTGGGATAATTCTCATTATTGTGGGAATTAAGTTTGATACTATAAAAGCGATTAATTTTTTTATAGTTGATACAACAACTTGAAGTATCGTCAACTTGACGTATTGTCATTTCTACAATTTTATACTATATTCATACTATTTTACCAACTCAATTAGAGACACGTTTTTTTATCTCTCTATGATCTGCCCATAGAAAGAGAATTGACCGTGAGTTACATGATTTTTATCTTAGAGTCGTGTAATGTTGAAAATACCTATACTAAAAGGAGGCAACACGATTTTAGGACATTGTCTTTGACGTAACTTTTCGAGACTTGTATTATAACCCTCTTCTTATTGTTGAATTATAATGTTTATATTGTTATAATATTGTTATGTTTAAGCAATTTTTTAATTATGTTATTTATATTATTATCTACACACAAATCACCCATTTTTCTTAACAATCTAAAGTCATGTTATGGTGATTTGTATATAGACAATTCTTGTTGTGATCTTCAAAGTGTAGAAAATATATCTTATGTATGGATGCCCAAGTGATTAGAAAGAAAAAAGGATTCCCTGCTGCTGTCCTATTCTATAATTTTTTATTTTTAGTTTTATTTTTTATTTTTATCAATTTTGAAACATGAATTTTTTTCAAAACTCAAAAATATGGGCTTGTTGGCCCAATCAATTTAACTTTCAGCTTAGTGTGATGGTGAAAATGATCCTTTGTTCATTGCTCTCTAGCAACCCGAAGAAAATTTAAAAAATTTAAACGATCTGGAGAAATAAATAAATTAGGGATTGATTTTGTTTTACCATAATGGAAATAATGATTAGAAAAATAGCTATGATGGATTTGCAAATTTCTTTGATAATTTTTGTCATATATTGATGCATAGTGTATAATGAGCATTATTTGTGTCCACAAAACAATGATTGGTATAATGAGCATTATTTGTGTCCACAAAACAATGATTTGTGTAAACTTGAATTTTGAAATATTTGGTGATTGTAATGTTCAAGTTTTAGTCCTTAATCCTAAATAAAGAATTGATTACTATGCAATTATAAATTTTAAGAAATAAAATAAAAATTCAATATGCAAATGGTGTTGTGTAAGTACGTAGTAGGATATCCCATTGAGATTTGTTCTAGTCTCACTAATTGTTGATTACATAAACTATATGATTGATCATAGTTTTTCCTTGTTTCTATCTCTATTGGGGTATTTCACATTTCATATTATTTTTAAATTAATCCATCTCTTTATTAACCATATGTAGTAGTATTTGGAATTGTGTGGTTATTGCATTTTAACTAGAAAATTGCATTATCCCTGAATTTTCATAATGTGGAAAAATGTTATTATTTTGTGCATTATATATGCCTTTTGGTGTGACTTCATATAATTCTTCAAAAATGCAAAAAGGGCAACTTGTATCCCTACAACACTTTTGATGATTTCATGTGTCTTTGTTGGGTCACACAATGTTTTAAGTTGTTAAAGACAAAACTAAGTGTAGCTTAAAGGGCAGAAGTGGTCTAATTAGATGAGTTAGGGCATCCATTGTGGGACATTAGTCTTGGTGCTTCTTTCCCATATTCTTCGGCCACAATTTTCTTTTTCCCTACTTTCTCTATGGTTTGAATTCTGTTAGTGTACAATCAATTTCTTAGTTGCATCTTTGGAAAATTCATTGATGCAATTGTCAAGGTAACTAGTAATTAGGGATGAAAATTTTGTATCCCACAATCAATTCTCTAGCTCATATACTAAATTGGTCTAATGACTTTAATATGGCATTCTTCCAGCCTTTCTTTTGGCATTGTCTCTAATTTTAATGTAGATAGAAGTAAGACAAATTCTTGTTTGAAAATACAGTGAGATACTATTATTGCATATTATAACCAAAACTAGTATTTTATCATGCATGTGAATTGGTCAGGTTAGATTATATGGGAATTCTATTTCATTTTGGAAAAATGGTTAAAAGATTTAACCCTCAATATTGTGCTTAATTGATACTTTAAAAGAGGTTTAAATGTAACTCCTGTGAATAATAGTGATTTTATT